GTGATTCCACCTTCAGCCATGGGTTATGTTGTTGCTGGGGCACTGTCACCCCGAATTTGGTTTACTGCACACTTGCATTTACGTTCCATGCCCTGTACAACAGCAACTTTGCAGAGTATCTCTGGCACTCCGGGGCCCCTTGGGGGATATTGGAGAGCTGGTTTTGGCCTGATCCCCACAGGCCAGGCCAAAGGATCCCACTTGCTGGAGGGACCTTGCTCCGAGCCATGGTGCCACCCAGGTGTGGCTGGGAGAGGGTGCATGCTGGGCTGAGGAACACCCCCCTCCCAATGAACAAATTTTGTGCACCGGCCTCTAGTCTATACTAATAAAAGGTAATATGCAAAGTTCCAGGGTGTGTCCAGCCATCTCGCCCAGTCCTGACCCGCTGGCCACCTTCTAATTTCCTTTCAATGTGCACGAATCCATGCACCGGGTTACTAGAAGTGTAATAAACGATGTAGGGTTAGAAGCTTGGGCAGAGCTTGGCTGGGCATCCTTCTGTCCCAAGTAGCGTTGACTGGGGTCATTTGCTGGGATATGGGTGGTGGCTGAACTGGACCAGAGAGTCCAAACTGGCGTTACTCACGTGACAATGTCAAAAAGTATATGGCCATCTTTAATCTGCCACAGCTAGATTTTAGGAGGTGTTATTTGCATTGTCTAGATGAGGAAAGGAATACTCAGACTAGTAGGGGACTTGCCCAGAGTAGCACAGATAGTAAGCAGGGAAGGCAGGCACTGCCCAGGGCTCTTATTCCAAGGTGCTGGACACCTTGTTGGACTCAAATATTTTCTGAAGAACAGTATGCTAATGCTGTTTCTTTTTTGCTCCTTCTCTCTCTCTTTTTAATTTTAGGTTAACTCTTATTTTCTTATTCATTTTTATTTATTATTTTTTTTCAAGATTTTTCTATTGATTTCAGAGAGGAAGGGAGCGGGAGAAATAGAAACATTAATGATGAGAGAGAATCATTGATTGGCTGTCTCCTGCACTTGCCGCCCCTTGAACCTGGACATGTGCCCTTGACCAGAATTGAACCCGGGACCCTCCAGTCCACAGGCCAACACTCTATCCACTGAGCCAAACCAGCGAGAGCGCTCCTCCTCTTTTAAAAGTTACTGGGAGAGACAAGGGGATTTGAGGGCCCAGATGGGCCCTTTACTGTCTGTGTTTCTGATCGTACATGGTTCCAGCACCTGTCTTTTCCCATTTGACCCATTTCCTCCCCTAAGCAGATATGAGGTTGGGGGTGAGAGGGAAGGGGTGGAAGTCTTTCTCTAAGAATTGGGGGTCAGGATGACTGTAGTGGCACCAGCTCCCCGCTTAGTGGATGCTGCTGGGTTAACATTGAGTTCTGAGCAAGCAAAGGGCTGAACCTATGGAAGAAGCACATTTATTTGAGATCCATGGGGGTGGGAAACTAGTGAGGAAAGAAATAGCTATGGGCTGAAGCAATAAGTCCAAGCCATTCGTTGGCCAATATGAATCAGCCCTTTGGAATCTGGTTTTAAGCCGAGGCATCACTCAACAAAAGCCAGAGCGTGTTTCGAAGCCGTTGTTCTGTACAGCACAAATGGCTTTTTGAAAAGCACCCCCAGGACATGACCTTTGCTCTATTGCTCAGGTTTGGTCACAGGAAATCCTGGGGTTATGTCTGACACTTGGTCTTTACCAATAAACTATGCTTCCACTTTCCTTTATCTCAAAATTTCAGAAGATACCTCTTTTCTCTTCTAGTGAAGCAATGGCTATACTAAACCTTTCCCTTTTTTTTTTTTTATTATGGTGTAGCCTATTGCTACATTATATAATATCATTTTATATTATAACTAGAGGCCCGATGCAAGAAATTTATGCAAGGGGCTCTGCCCTCACAGCTGCATTGGCTGCCTCAGCCCTCACAGCCCCGGTTTCGTCTGGAAGGTCACCCAGAAGGACATCTGGTCTAATTAGCGTATTATGCTTTTATTATTATAGATTATTAATGATATATTATGTTATTTATGTTATCATTGTGTTTCCATAATGGCCTGTTGCTATAGTATCCTTTAGATTTAAATTTATGTCCCAAGTCTTTGCAAACACTTTGTCTCTGCCCTTTCCAAATTCCGGGATTAGTTTTATTTGCTGCATTTAAATCTGCCTCATTTTTCACAAACAGCAAAAGCACCTTGGAAATCAACATCATATGTGAGCAGGGAAAATCCCCTTCCAGGTGCTTCTGAATGTCACCGTGCCGCATGGCACACCCCTAACCCCAAGTCGGGACTTCAAAGTCACAGCAGAATTGAAGTTCAATCAAAGCGTTGTTCACTCGGAACATTTTTGCTTTGCAGATATCAAGTAGCATGTGTACTTGCAGTGGCTAGGATTTCCACAAAAGGAACAACAGGAGTGCTCGATTGCAATACCTACCAGTGATGAGAGCTGTTATCACCAAGGGAAAGAAATGAAAGCAGAGGAAAGATGTTAGGAATGGAGTTAGCCGAAAATGAAAGGCCAAAGTGCTTGAGCGCTATGGGGGAGGATTAGCGGGACCCTGAGCGGTGCCCATCAGATGTGTCCCTTTATCATCTCCTTTATTCGCAATGTTGAAAGCTCGGGAAATTTCTGTGATTTGTGAAGTGCCTGCCACTGAGCTTGCCTCTCAAGCAGAGAAAGCCAGTGTGGCTCAGTGTAGCACAGTGGTTTCCAAATGGGGTCTTGGACTCCTGAAGCTGCTCAAGACCATTATCTGGGGTGCAGGAAAAGTATTAATTAGGATTACTATTTGACTCCACATTACGTTCTTGTTGTAAATTGCTGTTTTGGAGTTACGTGTACATAGCAATGAACGTGATGAAAGTGAGTTCCATCCCAGGCGGCATCGGGATCGCCTGGGAACCGGTTAGCAAGGCACATTCTTGGGGCCCATCTCAAACCTACTGAATCTCTGATGCTCTAGGGGTGGGCCCAATAACCTGTGCCTGGGCAAGCTCCCCGGGTGATTCTCATACCCAGTAAAATTTGAAGAGCAAACCGGTTTCTAATGTATATCATGTGTTTATAAATAAATTCACACATGTGGGCAATGCCCTCAGAAGTCTTTACTGATGAGATGCTCAAACAAAAGCTGATGCTGTGGTGGAAACTTGCTGACTCAAGAAGCACATATTTCTTCTTCCCTTTTTGTCTATTTTGCTAATTAACTCTGGGGTGGGGCAGTCATTTAGCCTCTTCTTCTTTCTGGGTGCACGTAAGCAAGTCGCTTAATCACTCTGGAAAATGAGAATCAAGTGAGATGTTACTATCTTACAGGACTGTGATGAGAGTTAAATGAGCTCACGTATAGCAGAAGCACGTAGTGAGCTCTGAGCCAAAATAGATGTTCTTTTCCCCTTGCAGCTTTAGACCCCACAGCATCAGCAGGTGAAGTAAGTTCCACCTGCTAGGGCAGATCAGTATGTTGCATGTATGAAAGCCCCCAAAATCTCTTCTAGTCTACAGGCTGTACCCTGGTCTATTACACTTTGTGAAGCCTTGACAATGATGACAGATGGAGAGGGCAGTGAATGAGTTTATTCAACATCTTTTCCCTTTCCATGAGTTGCATGTAATTTTCCATTGAAATTCCCAGCTGCAAAGAACAGCAGAGCCCGTGGTGCTGTAGACTGGAGCAGTTCAATATCACAGTGTCGGGAGGAACAGCTCGGAAAAGCGATGTCTGCTTGTCCTGACAGAGCAAGTAGCCTCTGATTCCAGCTGAGTTAGCTCATGGGAGCCGGCGAAAAGTGTTGGCCAATGCTTTCCCCTAAGAGCCCTGGGAAGCACTCCCAGTTAGTGTTCATAGAACTCTCTGGAGAGCATGTGAAATTGGCACATTTCTGGGCCCAGTGGCACTCAGCGTTGCAGAGACAGAATAGAAGCCACCGACTCTCCCTTATGATATCAACCCCACTAGCTCTCCACAGCCTAATTCTAGACGCATCCAGCCATCTATTAACATAAGGATAAGCTGGAGACAGCGTTTGTGCAAGACCAGTAGAAACCTGGATGAACTTGGAGGGTGAGGGGAGAAGTGCAGGGAAGCCCCTTTGTCCTCTGATACTTCACTTCTTTTAGTCGTGGTGGATAAAAGATCAGCAGAGAATTAATCAACTCTCGACGCATGAAAGGTGAATTGAGCTTGGGTTACGTGCTAGATCATCAAAGACAGAGCTCTTGCTCTGAAGGTTTCTAACAGGAAAGGATGCGGCCTGGCAGAGTGGGGAGGTCCACTGGACCGCCCTAGATGGTTTGGCTCAGTGGATAGAGCGTTAGCCCTTTGACTGAAGTGTTCCGGGTTCAAATCCTACCTTGGTTGCAGGTGCCCAGACCCTGGTTGGGGTGGGTGCAGGAGGCAACCAATCGATGTGTCTCTCTCACATCGATGTTTCTCTCTGTCTCTCCCTCTCCTTTCCACTCTCTCTAAAAAAATCAAAGGAAAAATATCCTGGGGCTGAGGATTAACAACAACAACAAGAGCTGCACCCAACTTGGCTTTATGAGCTAGGACTCTCCTGGTTGCAAGTGACTGAAACGTAATATGAATTACAAAGAGGAAATGTATTGTCATGAAATCAATCCCCTGGAAAGGGAGGGGATCAGCCAGGCCACAGAGTCACTGGAACCAAGGACTAGATAGTCATCATGACAAGGCCACTGCCCAGGCTGTTCCCTGGGTCTGGAAAGTTTTTCCCTTCCTCTTACTATACCTACTACTCATTATTCATGGGGCTCCAGTCACCTTCTCCGGGGGGCGGGGGGCTCCTCTCCCCCACTCCTCTGCCTGACTGTATGCCTGAACTGTTCAAGACTTTGGGGCCAATTGGAAAAAAGGTGACTCTTTTGGGTAGACAGCACCGACATGTGTAGAAAAAGGGGCCCTCCCCCTGGGCCCCATAGCCTGGTGAGAGAGCGGTGAGTGGGATTTCCGCTCACTTGCCCTCTTGGCTGTGCTTCTTTGTGCAGAGCACACACTGTTCAGCTGTACAGGTAGCTGAGTCAGATCCCCTGCTGTATGCTCTCGGAAGATTATATACCTGTTCTCCTTACTATTTGTCAAAATAGCAGTTTTATTTTGCTTGCATGATTGTTTAAGGAATGTTTCCTCTGCAAGCTTTTACGTCCCATGAGGGCAGCAACTGGTTTTGTTTTTGCTCAACATGTTATTCCTAGAGCCCAGCAGTATCTGGCACATGGAAGGCCCTTGACAAATAATGTTTCATGAATAAATGAATGAGCAAGCAAATGAGTGCTTGTTTCTTTATTTCCCTTGGACTGGCTTTTCCTCTGAGGTGGGAGCCACCATTGCTTGCAGCTTATGAGTTCACAGACAGATTTTAATTCTGATTTTGAAAATGCCAGGGAAGGATGCTAATTGGCCCAGCTGGGAGTGGGAGGCACCCTGATTGGCATCCCATATCAAAGCTCTGTTTAATAAATGGTGGGGTGAGCAGTTCCCCCAAAGAAGGGAGGGCTCTTCCTAGCGAAAGAGGGGAGGGCTGGGCAGAAACCACTCCAGATGTCCCCACACTGCCATTGACCTGCCATGGGGGAATGTGCTGAGCTCACCTCTGAGATCATCCAGCCCAATGTTCTGTCCCCCTTTGTTCTAGTTCTGTTCTTCGTGCCAGATTCTGTTCTAGTGCTGCTGGGGTCGGTGGAAAAAGACATGACTGTGGGCAGCCTCAGTCTAGGGAGTCTTCATGGAGGTGAGCTTTAAGATGAGTGGGAAAGGCTGAGGCGTTGTTGGATAGAGAGAGAGGAAGAAGGGGAGAGACTTTTCAGGGGGAGGGGCTGGCTGGGGCAAGTATGCTAGGTGTTGGTGTGGCGCCATTTGTTTGTTGGGATTTTTTGAATCCAAATATCTTTGTAAGGGGTGCCCTGCTAACTCATCTGCATTTCCCCCCTGAACTAGCTTATCCCAGAACAGCAAGCTGGTCATCCACAAGGATCTGAGGGAATGAGACATTGGACAGGTAACTTTTGATCATCAAAATAGGTCCTGAGTACAAGCATCTCTAGGGTGTATCGTTTAGTGGGTCAGCCTGGGGTCTATGTACATTTTGCATGTGTGCTGGGGGAAGGAGGGAGGTAAGGAGGAGAGAGATTCGCTCCAATGCAGGAGAGTGACTCAGGGAGGCATGGAAGAAAGAAGAGTCCCTCATCCCTTACACCACTGGCCCTAAACCCTTTCCCTGATTGTTAAATATAATAACCTCACAGTACCTGCCCCCTTTCCAGTTCGTCAGGTGACCCCTTTGTGGCTTACCTCAGGATGTTTGTTAAGCTCGTTTCAATATTCTTCAGTCTTGTTCCTACTGGCGAACAGTGAGGTTTGCCTTCACGTGCCAAGGAAGGGCCTCATCCTGAAAACGGAAGCGGTCTGTCCAGGAGGGCTATCCACCAGGCACTACTTTGGTAGCCTGGGCACATGGAAGGGGAGCTGGAAGAGGGAGAGAAGGCTCACCAAGGTGAAGTGGGAGCAGGGGGCCAGTGGTACAGCCTAGACCACCTGCAATGGCTATCCTTAAAACTCAATTGCCTATAAGCGCACTCTGCTACTGTGGGGCCTAGCGTACATACCCCGACATGTACTCCTGTTGCTGGTTCCTTGTATCTGCTTAACAAGGAAGAGAATAGAGCTCCATATTCTGGCACTGGGGAAACTGTGCTTCATGCTGCTGTAATGGTGGGCAGAGAGAACGCTGGGCATTTGTGTTGGACCTTAGAACTATGCTCGGTGTGACTGACTGCCCGCGGGTGCTAGGACAATCAATGCATGCAGTCTCCGCAGCGATGGGCTTGGAGTGTGTACTGGGGGAATGTTTGAGCACGAGAGCCCTCTGTAAAGTGCTAAACAACACAGCAATATAGCACAGTGATAAAAAAGACAGATCCGAAGCTAGTCGGCTTGGCTTTAATTCTCCCAGTTCTGCCACTTACTAGCTGTGTGACTTCAGGCAGGTTACTTTACCCACTTGTGCCTCAGTCTCCTCACCTGTAAAATGAGTTTAACAACAATTCCTACCTCTTGGGGCTGTTGGGAGGGTTAAATGAATTAATTTGAGCACTACAGCAGTATCTGGTGCCAAATGATGGAACTTAAGTGTTTGCCAATATTTATATTCCCCAATGTATTGTTTGTGGATTTGAAATGTTTCCCAAAGCTAAAGTTATAGAAAATTTGCATGGAGGCTTAGAACAGACTAAGGTTGTAGTGAGAGAACTTCAAAGCCAGAAAAAGCGATTGTCAGATGGAGGCATGAAAGATAAAATGGAAGCAGTTGTAGGGACTTAAGGTTGGACTTTCAAATTGACCAGTCCCTGGGGGTAAGGGCAGGATGGCTGGGGAGCGGGGAGGGGGAGACTAGAGTGCAGTGGGGCTTGGGGTCAGGGGATGAAGGGATGAAACAATAAGATGAGAGAGAAGGCAAAGGGCGACTGTGGGCAGAGTAGGACCGAGACTATGCTCGGTGTGACACTGCAGAAAAAGCAGTTAGACTGTAACCCAGTTTGGAATGAAAGGTGAGCAAAATGTGGAAAGAGATGAAGTTTAAATTTGGCATCTCTTCTCCAGAGAGCACTTCTCTCTTGCTCTATATCCAATACTTCCATTCTGCCTTCAAAATGCTACTCCCAGAGCCAAGCCTTGCTCCTCTGCCACTCACTGCCCACAGCCTGAAACGGTCCCCCTACCCCTTCAGTGCCCTAACAAAATTCCCATTATTTGAGTGCAGGCTCAGATGTTAGCCCGACTTGGGAGCAAAACTAACAGAGTGGAACTCATCTGTCACTAACCAAATTACCGATAGCCACTGACTAGTCCCTAAAGTGCCTGGATTATAAAAAGAATTTACTTGTGAAGGCAAATGAATATCTAATTTAGGAATTATTAATTTATGGGATGGGAATAGGCAGGTTTCAGGCCTTTCACAGAGTCATCATTTTCAATGCTTTATAAAGGGGCCTGTAACTCAGAATTTTAAGGGCACTTGCTTAAATCTACTTTGGCTGAGGCAGTGTAACAAAGTAAGTTGTAGGCATTTAGCATAGTTGGAAGAAAATACTTTTCAATTCTGTTAGTGATTTGTGTATGTGTTTGTGCGTGTCCAAATTATTTTCTTTTTTTATTTTGGAACCACAGATTTTTTTTCTTAGATGCTTGGATCCATTGTTTTTCTCCCATCCAGGTGGCTCCTGTGGTTGCTTCAATTAGGGGTTTAGGTGTGTCAGGAGGCATGGGGCAGCTGAGGCAGGTAAAGGTTGACTTGTAGAATCTGCTTAGTGACATCCTACATCCTCTTCCTCTAAAACAGGAAGTTCTTAGTTCCATAATATGGTGTCATCACCAAGGAAGTGAGCATATATTTTCCCCAGCTCCCATCCCCTCCCCTCCCCCATTTCCAATTGCTGTCTGCGGCTCCATCCACTCTCCCAGAATGCTTCACTTTGCCATAATGAGATGCTCGGCCGCTGTGCAGCACCGATGTCTGGAGATGGATGGGGCCTCCTGTACTGCCCTGGGAGGGATGTTAAAAGACATTGTATTCATGGATGCAGGCTAGAAAAGGCGAGGAGGAATGAAAAGCCTGATAGCACACAGAAGCCATTGTCCAAGTAAAATGGTTATTCTTTTTGTCCATTCCCTGCTAGATGGAGTGACTGGAGAGATGCTATGTTCCTGAAAGTCACTATAAAGGTCATGCATTGTTTAGATTCAATTGGAAAATTATACCTTCTGAGATCGATTTAATGCGACACCGTTAGGACTTGATTAGCTCAGTGCGAATAAGGTGAAAATACCCAATGCAAGGAAGAACATGTGGTAATGAATAAATACATTTTTGTTTGAATACGCTGTTAAATCTGTAGGCAGGTGTGATTCTTGTAAAATAAAAAAGCCGTGGGGGAAAAAAATAAATGTCAGTTTAAGTATTCTATAGTTGGGCTGGAGAAAAAGATTAGCAAAAAGAAAAAAAGGCTTATTAATGCTGCCCTAATAGTCGTGTGTCAAGAAATGTTGGAAGTTAGAAATAGTTTTAAAAATAAATTAAATTTTCTCTATATCTAGGGGAGGCAAAATTCATTGCTAAGTGAAATGGAAGCACTCATATAAAATATCAGTGGAATGGACAATTCTTAGTTTTTCTGAGAGATCCTTAAAATGGCTGCTTTAGAAAGAAAAAAACAAGATTTTCTAGATATTTAAAAATACAGATTCTTTTTTATTTGAAATAGTCCCAAGCATAAAAATTAGCCAACTGCACTGCACAAGATACCATTAGGTTCACAAAGAAATATGTGTCACATATTT